TTAGCCAGCAACTTTTACATTTTGTAACTCTAATAGTTTAAAATAGTTTAAAAAATTTCATATATCATTAAAAAAAAGTAAAAAAAGATATATTATCAAAAAGAATTATAAAAATTTCGGATCAGTCCGAATCCGTAATCTGGACAATAACCGAGAAGGAATAGTATAGAAGTATAAATAAAAACCGGGGAATAAATATATGTATTATTTATTTATCAGTAATAGCGTTATAAATATCAAGATAATTATACGTTTAGATTGTTTAATATTATATTACTCTATATTATAACATTGTTTGATGATCTTTTTTTTTTTTACGTGATTTGGAAATACCAGATATTTGAACTAATAAAGCAATTTTGAAACAAAAAATATGATAGAACATTAATCCTTACTAACACGTAAAATCAGGCCTGAAAGTAATAGAATGTTTTAGAGAATCGTACATACTGTTTATGTAATATTCTCATTGATATTTTATAGATTCAGATGCTATTATTTGTGCAAGCGATACAAAGCAAATGGCCAGTTTTTTTAATCCGATACACATGTGGTTTTTGCATTGAAAATTACCAATGGGATATAGTAATTACTGTATCCATAAGGTCATTTTAAAGTACAAATTCCATACATCAAATCTGCTAATATAAACGTAGTGTGTGTTATTTCGGAACACATGTGGACATAAAATAATAATAATAATAATAATAATTATAATAATAGAAAATAAAACCTTCTAGCATGTTAATAAGCAATATAATATATATATATATATAAAGTATATAATTTTATTATAACAAAATCGAATAATACTAGTAGCGTTCTACAATCGCAAACTAGTTATGTAATTAATGCTTGATGTGAATAAGTAAAATATTGAAATATTCCTGTTTCAAGAATATTCATATAAATAAACGAATATTTAATAAGTTGCTTAGCAATGAAACCTCCTCTTAGGCTTGGAATATCTATGATGTCTTTATCAATTTTTTTTGCACCATTTTTATCATTTTTGATATGTTCGATATATCTAAAAACTTTTAAATCTACATCTTTCATAAAATCTTTTGAAAGTTCTTGGTAAATTTTTCCAAATATTTCATTCCATTCGTTTGGCTCTGAATTTTTCTTCATATACCGATATAGTTTCTTTGACTTTGTAAAACAATGCTTCATCAGGTAATACCTCAGATAAAACTTCAGATAAAGCCTTTGAAACTTTTTAACAAAACCATCCTTATCAAGAACTAAATCTACATTTAGATAAAGCCTTTGCTGACCTAATAATCTAGATACGTGTTCTTCAGAAAGAACTGCTAGAAAAACAAACTTATATTATCTCTGTAAAAAGGAATTCTTCCAATGTCAGTATTCCTAAATTTAAACCCATTTTTCAAAATTTCTACTACTTTGATATCTTTGTCATGAGAAAAAAATGATGAAATTGAACGGGTTATAACAGTTGAAAGAATGAAGAAATAAATCGAATCAACTTTTTTAGGGGTACAATATGCATCATATTCGAAAAAAAATTCTATTATAGAAATGAAAATGACGAAAAAGAAATTTTTTTTGGGAACAATTCTGTTTGTAAAACAAGCTATAATCAAACGAAAGTTTAATATAAGGTAAAGTGAATTAGTAAGTAAGCTTAAAAATTGTAAATTCAGAACTGCATCTAAATGTGCTAAATCAAACGAATAATTAAAATTGGGATGGCGAGTTTTACCAAGGACTTGTAACAGATCACAAACAATTATTGCAAGTGAATTAATAAAGCAAGCCGATACAACAATTTTATTAATAATGCTAAATCGATGGTATTTTGAAGTAAATGAATTTTTGAATAATAATCTTATATATTTGAATGGAAATACGGACAAATTGTGAAAATCATCTACCATACAACATACGAAAAAAAAGGAAAATAAACTCATATAAACAAGTACTGAAAAAAATAATTTAATATGGATAGGGTTTCCACGATCATAAAGGAAATAAAAAACAAGTTTAGAAGTAAAGAACCATGAAAAGATTGGTACAAGAAAACATGAGAGAATTAGCAAATCATCAACAATGCAAGTATTTCTAAGATTTAATCGAGAAGTTACACCATAAACAGCAACGTTAAAAAGTAATACTGCAATAGTACCAAACCCTGAAATTTGATCAATCATGGTATTATGATTAGATTCAAATTGAATTCTTGAATAGTCTAAACTACTATTACATTCAAAATTTTTTGAAGTACTATTATATACTGGAAAAAAAAAGGTCTTGTCTCTTAATTTTTCTAACTCATTGTCAGGAACATGAGGTATAATCAAAAAGATAAGTAATAAAGTATAGAGAACAATCGCAAAAATACATAATGTCGATAGGACAGAAAGAGCTGCTTTGACTCCGCTTCTATATATGCAGTAAAAGCAATAATAGAAAACAGAAAGGCATAAAAATGCTAGGATAAAAAAAAACTATTGGTATATCTGATATTAGACTCATTGAAATAAATTCAATTCAACAAAAATGATTATATCTTTGCTATTTGAGTGTACGTACGTACGTATGTATATATAATTCTTTTTTGTTATAAAGTCACGTCTGATGCAAACTAATCTAGACATACATATCATATGCTGTATTCTTTACATTTCCATCCATTAGTACTCTACAATCAAGCAGTGTTACCACACGACTTTAAAAGTTCATATTACTAAGTTCTCGAATTTTAAATAAATTATATTAAGTGCGCGTTAATCGAACACTAGTTTGAAGTACTCAATTTTAAAAATAACGCCATGAGCGTTATTTTTGCTTGTACGTACTACAGTGCAAGAAATCTAAAAACCACAATCTCCTTATAGAGACAAGTATAAACAAGTTATTTCCTAAATTATTGGCATCAATAAAGTGTGTAAATAAATAATTTTGTGTAAATAAAATACTTTATTGAAGTCATAATTTGAAAGTATTTGACTTCAAAATGTGCTACTTAATTATAACTAAATTGCTGTTGAACTTACAAAAACGATATGTTCGGTGGACAAATTTGTATTAGTATTGAGAGGTTATCAGATTTGAAACATTATAAGATATTGGATTTATATAACGAAAACGGACTTGGTAGGCTAATTTTTTATCATATTTGACAAGTTATCGATTTTGGGAGGGTTGACAGTATACTGTACAATTATACGTTATATTAGCTGTGGAGAGATGGTCTACTCGCAAGTAGTACATTGGAAATCAAATATTTCTTAAATTATCGACTTCAATAAAGCATTTATGTATACACTTTATTGATGCTAAAAATTAAGGAAATAAATCTACAAGAAGATTGTGATTTTTAGATTTCTTGTACTACAATCGCTTCTTCACGTAACGCCCTGTTATGGGATGTGCATGCATATTATTTCGGGTAATGCATTAGTTACCCAATATTTAATGGAAGATCATTCTGAATTTCCAGCTCTGCGTTTATGGGCGTAAGTACGATACGGTATAAAGAAAAATATTTTCCTAATCATTAGCATCAAATAAGGTACGTACGTGCATTTTGATTAGTGCATTTATACAAGCACATGTGTGTGCTGCCAAGAGAGGACGAGCCTTGTGACTTTCGGTTTATAAATTAAGAATCTGCCCTCAACAGTCTGATTGATCGATACATTTTTTTATGCAAAATAAGTTATAGCTATTTAAAATATCACTTATCAGCAAAATAACACAAGTAAATAAGATGCTGATCATGAACTCCAATAGCTTATCTGTTATGTAAAAGATTGATCAAGCCTTATACTAAACAGAATTAACATGAATAAGATTAAAAATAGGTATAATATTCAGAACTCAAATTTGATCTAGTTCCGAGAATTAACTAGTCATTTCTTCAAAAAAAAAAACCAAATTTTTAAAAGAATGATTAGTTGATTTTCTCGATCCTTAGTAAAAATATTCGAGTTCAATGAATAGATTCCAAACTACCGGATGAGCAGCATTATGTAATCATAATTATTTTAAATTGTATTTCAGCTAACATGAATAAAATAAGAGGAAGATTGTAATGAGAGTATTTACGAACTCGAATACTATACATCGTTTAAAAAGATATTTTATACAAATCGAACAAATTATATATGGGAACCCCACAGCAAAAGGAGGCAGTGGGCAAAAAATTTTGATTTTGTAATTTTATAAAAATTGTATTTTTAATACTGTACTTTAATTCTTCAAGGAATTGAGTTTTTAAAAAAAATTTTTTTGCCCACTGCCTTCTTTTGCTGTGGAGGTCCCCATATGCTGTACTATTTGCATTTATAAAATCTTTACATTCGCCAACTAAATTATTGCGAATAAAATAAGTAAATGTTCGTAAACTTGAATCAGCTAAAAGGGTTTTTAGTATAACCTGTTGGATCGACATAAATTAGCCAATCACATGAATACTTTTCTATGCTCTGTAGCAAGATTCGACAACTGGATTTCTAAATTCTAAATTTTAGATCACACTTAAAAAAGTAGGCATCGACAAGGTCGAATAATTCTTATTTTGTAAATACGTGTCTTTATTCATAAATAAACAATATCAACCTCTAATAGAAGAATACCTGCTTTATATGATAGTATAGTTAACTCATTTTTGCACAAAATGCCATAATCACCCTTTTAGCTGACCGCGCCCCATATACTTGGTTCGAGTTTTTAAATTGATTATTTTTTTTTTGCTGAAGTAATGACTTGTTAATTCATTCAGCCTAAGAACCCCGTAGAATGTTCTCAAACATCTAAAGTAACAGGTTGAAGCTTAATTTTTAAAAGTCTAGCAGGCCAAGTGAGTTCATTATCAGGATAAAAAAAAAATATAGTCGAGACCTCTTAGGAAAATTTCGTGCGATTGGTTGATGTAAATCAATTGACCGGGTAACTAATTATACATTTTAAAGTACCTTTGAGAATGTAACAGCTCCTAACAAGAAATTACAATAAAAACCATTTCTAGTTTTGAAAGAACGTCTATATTCACTGTTGTACTGTGCAAAAATAATTAGCAACTTCAAGAACTTCACCTAGAAGTGAATACTTTGTTATATATTTATTTTTTTGTTTTATAAATTCATTCGAGTTGACATGCATACAGGCGTATGCATAGTCAATAGATCGAAAAGATGGCTAAGCAGGGGTAAGCTCTTC